TATTATTATTAATTATTATTATTAATTACTAATTATTATTGTTATTATTATCATATCAGATGTAATATCAGCGCAAACATTGGCTATTTTTGTTTTAAATCTTCTAAATCTCGTGATTTAGGAGCTTTATTTTTTATGTAAACCCAAAGAAAAAGTCAAGTGGACACAGATTGGAGGACTTAACTGGCCCCTCAATAGTTCATCTCCGACCTATCCAACGATTATATTAAACACTACATCTAGGTAGTTTCTCTCAATTGCCCAAACAGGTGCACCTTGCCTTAATTGGTCGGGTATAAACATCATCTTGTCTTAATTGGTTGAGGCTACACGCTACATTGCCCTAATTGGTCGGGTATACACACCACCTTGCCTTAATTGGTCGGGTATACACACCACCTTGCCTTAATTGGTCGGATATACACACCACCTTGTCTTAATTGGTCGGGTATACACACCACCTGGCCTTAATTGCTCGGGAGTACTGCCGCACCGGGACTTTTAGAACTCGACCCACATTTGACCTAGGTCAGGGTCAAGGAATTGATCAAGGTCATAATTAAACGTAAAAGTTCCTGCTCTTTCCAAATCCGCAATAAAAAATAGGGGTTTCCATTTAAAAAACTTAACTTGACCTTCAAATGACCATGAAGGTCAAAGTCAAGGTCAAATCCAAGGCCACCATCGGATAGCCAGGGAAAAATCCTTACACTTTTGTCTGAAACATTTTTTCCCAAAATGCTTTCTTCGAAAGTTATTCTGCCGTACCGGGACTTTTGGAAAACCCTGTATAAATAGAATTCTTGTGGTCGTCCGGAACATTTGTTTTAGTTTTTAAGTGCGAATAATGATTTTTTTTGTTATAGGGCCAATGGAAGCTATTATTTGAATACAAACAACGCCTCTCCCTTCGCTTAAGTTGATTAATAGCCTTTAAAACTTTTAGCCTTGATGTAAAGAACATGTTAACTTCTGTTCAGTATTTATTTAGGCACCAAAATGTTCAAGTCGAATGTTACACTTAAGAATAGACATTAGTTATAATAAATAAAATTATAAATGCAGTGCTATTGACTATAAAATAATACAGGATAACCGCCGAGGTATCCGTGAAACTTCGTATATGAATTCTATGACTAATTTTAAGCAAAAATGATTCTATTCAATTTTCCAGAATTCTCAATGGTTCTTGAAATATCGGGGTTTGAACTTGCCAGGTCGTAGTTGCTAAATAGTAAATTACGTTGTTGCCACTAGAGGGCTTAGAAAAAAATGTGGTTTATTTTAATAAAAGCGTAATGACAGTGTAATTATTCAAGCTGATCAATGTGTCCACCGCGTTGTGCAATGCATAACCCAATCCTCTCGTTTTCAGTTATAATTCTACATATTGTTTTTCGCCTCATTAAACGCTGTATGAATTTTCTCAATGAGTCGGTGTCTTCACAAGTTCCCACATGGAAAAGTCCAACGGGTTGAAGATCCGCAGATCGCGGTGACCACCACTTCGATTTGGATATTTTTCATTGAGGAAATTAGTAACGGCTCTTCCATAATGTTGACGATTTTATTAATTTTAAGGATCAAAAAATGACTGAAAAAGTTGCACTTTTTTTGGGTGTTTTTTTCAAATAACTATTTCAAGTTTTATTATTTTTTTGTACTTAATCTGGGGTAGCTAAACACGAATATTATAGCATTTTCGCCTTAGAAGCAAAATAGACCCGTAAATGTTTAGTTTTCTTTCTTTAAAAGTTATTTTCATAAAATAAAAATTGAAATAACATACCCAAAAAAGTGCAACCTTTTCAAAATTTTTATTTTTTTTTTATCCTTAAAATTAATAAAATCGTCAACATTTTTTAACAGCATGATAATATAACTCTTTACGAAGAAAATAAACCGAAAATCGTTACTGTAGGGCTATCCGCTGAGAAGATCTAGCCAATTTTCGAGAGCGCCTTTTTTTCAAAAAAATCGATATATCTCGAAAAATAATTAATATTTTTAAATTTTCCAAATATGTACTTTTTTGGCTTGCCGCGGGCTATGCTTGCAGTAAATAGCAAATATGGGCACGTAAATGTAAACGAGTTATAGAAGAAGAGAAAAGAGAAGATTTTTAACGGTTTTTTCGATATATCTCGAAAAGTAACAAAGCAACCGATACTTTAAAAGAATCAATCGATAGATCTTTTTAAAACCTACAACTTTCTCATTTAAAATTTTTCAATCCGTGCTATATTTTTTTAGTTATTTGAGAAAAACCGTTTTTTTCAACTTTGCGATTTTTTTTAACCATGTTCGCCATATTGGATTGAGTTTAAAGAACAAGAAACTCAATTTAAAATTTAATTTTCTATACGGTCATATTTTTTTTGTCCAGGTAAAAATTTCTGTAAGCATTTCTCTATAATGCTTGGACTAGAATAAACACTGAAAGATCTTTCAAAACTCCAAGAAACCGATTACGTGGCAATGGTCCCGGAAATAGTTCCTCCAAAGAAAAAGGACCACTCACTAATTACTTTAAAAAATAGTCTCGGTCAAAATGGGGCTGGCGTGACAATATGTTCGCGAGCTTTATCTCCCTTGAAAATTGCTATCCGTACTGCGTTTTTACTCCGTCTACACACGTGTTTGAAATGCTAAGAAAATGAGTAAAAGTTGTCAAAAACAGACAAGCAAACCATCTGCCGGGGTTAATATCATTGGAACTTTATTCCCGGGGACAAAAATAACTCGCATCCATAGCAATTTTTAATTCAGGGGCATAGCTAGGATTTTTGCTGGACCCAGAGCTGCTGCAAGCTCTAACAAGAAAACATGCAATCAACGACTTACCGATTTAATAATTTGAAACATAAGTACTCTTTCGTTTCTAAATAAAAAAAATAGCGAAATCAGCGACTTACCGATATGAGATAGATGATACTATTGGATCTTTTTTTACCCCTGCTCCCCCCTAGCTACGCCCATGTTTCAATTTTGACCGAGACCACTTTTTAATGTAATGAGCGTGTGTCTTTTAAACATCGTATGATAATATTTATGTGATCAATAGTGAGTAGCCCTAATATTCAGAATGTACCTAAAAGTGGTGTGACTCTTTTTTTTTTTTTAATCATAACATTGTTGGTTCTATGCCGCTGAAGTACCTCATGTTGACTTAAGGCTTAAACATGGAAGTTACTACCTGAGTATCCTTAATTAAATAAAATACATTTATCAGACACACCTAAGATAAATTGAACTGTAGACTGGGTATGTATGGTTTAACTATCTTTGAATATACTTTGTGTACTAACAATTTTCCAGTATTTGAGTAGGTACTAAATACAAAAAAATATGTTTTGCAGTTTGTCGTTTGTTGAAATGTTGATTATTTTGTTACATAAATGTTTGCTATTTTAATTAACTTTTTTTTATTATTAGCTCCTGTACTTTTATTTCAAGGATGTTACGCAAATTTAAATCAACTTAAAAAATTTTCTAAAATTCTTACCATACTAAAATGTATTGATTTATTTAAAGTTTTGTGTTTTATATACAGGGTGTTTCACCTAAGAGGGATTCTTCTGTAACTCTGTAACTGTTAAATTTATAAAAAAATGGTTTTAATAAAAATTGCCTGGAATCGTGTCGGCCATATAAAGAAAATATTTTTAGCTTTACAAGGTGTTCCATTTCGCGTGGGCGCTACATAACTTTGTTATTTTAAATGGAACACCCTGTATATTATTACGTTTTTTATTTCCTTGGTTAATATTAGGTATTCAAAATCGGGTTCATTTCGAAAGTTCGAAAAAGTAGCTATGTAATAGCGTCAAGGCCTTGCAATTTTATTAGTACAACGTCGATACATAGGATTTTACAAAAGCACAGTACAGCACATCCTTATCGCATCCAATTACACCAAGAGTTACTAAAAGTAGACTTTCAACGGAGACTGGAGTTTTGTCAGTGGGCACTTGAGATGTTAAATCAAGATGATGATTTTTTTAACGGGTTATATTCTCCGATGAGGCTACTTTTCATAAAAATGGTTTCGTTAATAGTCATAATTGCCATTATTATGACATAGTAAATCCTCACCAATTTCGGACAACTCATAGCCAACGATGGTCTTTAAACGTGTGGGGAGCAATTTTGGAACCGGAATTTTGGGTCATTGGACCATTCTTTTGTGACCAGCATCTAACCGGAGCAGTTTATTTAAACTTTTTAACAAACACTCTAGAACAGTGTTTCCCAAAGTGTGGGTCGCGACCCCCCGGGGGGTCGCAGTGAGGTATTAAGTGGGTCGCCGGGAATTTCCAAAATAAGAGGAAACACCACTTTGTTAAATCATGTATTATTATTCTAATAAAGTCGTAGGTAATTATTAACAATTTGTTATCAAATAAAACATTAAACTAAATAATATTAATAAATCTTAAAAGTAAAGCAAAAAATAAAGTAAAATAGTATAGTGTTAATGAGACCCATGCGCCTGTTTTTTTGAAACCAGTCTTTCAAATCTGGCCTGTGTATTTGAGACACACAATTATATCATTTTCCAGTTCCAGGCGATTTCTCATTTTTGTTTTGATGGCAGTCATAGATGAAAAACTTAACTCACAATCAGATAAATACAATGTTACGAATGGAACCAAATATAACTTTTTATTAATTTATTTTTATTGTAAATATTGTATTTGGCAGAAGTGCTATTAGTTAACTGTTAAATTTTAAACAATAAGGTAAAATAAAATTTCAAAAATAATCAGTTAATTGTAATTTAGGCACGCTATTTTGGTTTGAGTGATGAGTAAGGGGGTCACCGAGAAAATTTTTAACAAAAAAGGGGTCGCGCTTTAAATAAGTTTGGGAAACACTGCTCTAGAACATTTGTTAGGCGACATTCCTTTAGCTACACTTCGAAGAATGTGGATGCAATATGATGGTGCTCCACCTCACAATACCGCTGCGGTTCGTCAGTTTTTACATGAAACTTTTCCCAACAGATGGATTGGGCGCGGGGACCAGTGAGTTGGCCTTCAAGGTGTCCAGATATGACAAGTTGAGACTTCTTTTTATGGGGATCTATAAAAAGCAAAGTTTACGTTACACCACCAACTACCGCAGAAGATATGTGGCAGCGCATTACAGTAGCATTTCAAGAAATTACGCCAGACATGCTGACCTATGTTGAACAACAATTGATGCAAATCAGCGGTCTAAGTATTCTTCTCCTTGTTGTGTTCCGAGTTTCAGTCCAAAGTTATGTAGCGCTCACGCGGAATGGAACACCCTGTAAAGCTAAAAATATTTTCTTTAGATGGCCTACATGATTCCAGGCAACTTTTATTAAAACCATTTTTCTATAGATTTTACAGTTGCAGAGTTACAGAAGAATTCCTCTTAAGTGGAACACCCTGTATAATTTTAAAAGGAAGCCTCTACAAAAAGCGATTTCACTCATCGTGGCTATATTCTGTGTTGGTCCTTTTCCAAAATGATGTAACTGTTAAAGATGAGATTAAAAATAATTTCTTTGTAGACTCAAGTATTTGGAAACAGTACTATTTAATTTTATTTCAGATAATTTTATTTATGATTAACTTTGTCAACTGTGATACTTATTCAGCATGTTTAGACGCGTTTGCCGTACTGGCAGGTCTTTTTCCACCCAAAGGTTCTCTGTTATGGAACAAGGACCTACAATGGCAACCCATACCAGTACACACGGTACCCATTGACAAAGACGAGGTGTTCTCGATGAGAAAAAAGTGCCAGAAATATATCAACCTGTTCGAGAAAACAATGATTTCCGACTACGTGAAAAAAATCACGTCTAAATTCTACGACTTCTTCAACTGCGTCGCGAGGTACACCGGTTGGGGTGATGTGGAGATAAGCCACGTAGCAAAACTCCAAACGAATTTGGACGTTTATTCCAGCTATAACAGGTCTTTCATACCACCTTGGTCTAAGTTTTTGGACAAGAAAGTACTAGAGTATCTAGCTGCGGTAAATCACCAAAGGTCCACCTTGACACCGGCCTTGAAAAGGCTCCTCACGGGACCTTTTTGGTCCAATCTCCTCGCCCATTTCGACAACGTAGTCAATAACATCGATGGTACTCCCAAATTCTTGATGTTGTCGGCCCACGATACGACGATAGTCTCCATTTTGAACTGCGTGGACGCCTATGATTTTTCCCCGCCTAATTTCGGGGCTACGTTAATTTGGGAAATGAGAAAGAATCGCGATGGCGTCTACTACATTAATTTGTTCTACAAGAAGTCCGAAACGCAAGTTGAAAGGATGAGATTAGGAGAGCATGGATTTTAAAAATTTGTTACAACCTTTAGTGGTTGACGGCTATGACTGGGAAGAAGAATGCGAAGGTAAGTTTTACTTGTACTTACCCTTGCGTATACATGAAAAAGAGAGTAGAAATGAGTGTAAAAAGATTAGGGGGTGACAGAACAATAAAAATAAGATGATTTTTCCCATGGACCATGGACTTGTGGTTTTTGTTTACAAATTTTTGACACTTTTTAATATATCACTTTGAAATTTGATACAAGTTATTGAGGGTGTTAAATATGTCACTGCTTTTAGTTTTAGACCATCTGCTAGAGGTCGCTAGCTACAATTTCTACATTTTATGACGTAACTTTTTGAGGTAAGGTTTTTTACAGGATATCACATATTGAATCTCCCCTTTCCTCCTCAAGGAATGATAAAAATTCTCAGGTTTTCCCTTCACATATTTGTAAATAAAATATTAAAACTACTCGGTCTAATATTCAAATTGACAGGGCCTTTATAACGGTTTATACAATGAGTTTTTACAAATAATAATAATAATAATAATAGTAATAATAATAATAATAATAATAATAATAATAATAATAATATAAAGTAAAGTAAAGTAAAGTTTATTGACCAAAATATATACAATGTACATGTATAGTCAGAGTTACATTAAAATAACACAGAATAAATAACACAGACAAATAAGAAATATCCTAACCTACTACATACGCTTGCAAACTATAGAAGCAAGTAGTTTCAAGGTACTTCCTCACAAAGTGTTTAAACCGGATGGTGTTCATATTTCCAAAATTAATATCTGGGAAACGACCAGTAAGAGTATTATACAACTTGAGATCAAGCTTATTCTTTGCTGTTAATTTAATTCTGGAACGAGCAGGAACCAAATTGTGTACATGCCTTGTATTGTAAGTGTGATTAGATGAATGGGTGGGGAAGTCTGAGTGATTAGCATGAATACAAATTAAAGTTTGCAGTATATACAGACAAGGCAGAGGCAAAATCCTCAGCTTCTTAAATAGAGGCTGGCAATGGCTTCCAGGTGGTGCTCTGCTAAGAATGCGAATAGCCATCTTTTGTAAGCTGAAAACTCTGCCAACATTAGTTGAATTACCCCAGAAAACCACACCATAATTCAGATGGCTATGAATTAAAGAAAAATATACCGTCCGAAGCACATCAGATGAAATAGATGATTTTAAACGACGCAAAACAAATATTTGGGATGAGATCTTTAGTCTCAAGCTGTCGATGTGTGACTTCCAGCCAAGATGAGTGTCGAGAGTCATTCCTAAAAATTTCACGGGTATTGAATCCGGTACCCGTTTGTCAGCGGTAAAATATATAGTCTGAATTTTTGAATCATTTAATTTTAAATGATTAGCTCGAAACCAATATCTGGCCTGCTCCAGCCTATCTACACCCAGCGAGGAGTCACCCGTCGACAGAATGGTGGTATCATCAGCGAACAGAATACAGTGGTCAACTACTGCGTGTGGTAGATCGTTTATATAAATAAGGAATAATATATATTCTGATCAAAAGATGTCATGGGCCCAAAGTGATCCTATGAATAGTTTCAGAGATAAAGAGGGGGGGAAGTATGTGATTTTAGCTGTAGGCCTGAGTACGCTTCACGAAGTTTCAATTTGATGGAGTCAAAAACTGAGGCATGTAATGAATTTTGACCAGTAGGTACAATGCTTTTAGGGCCATTGAACCTGAATTCGGGGATAGCTTAGCTATCTAAGGTCACCTGGAGGTCAGGTAAAGGTCGTTTCAAGGTCAAACTGAAGGAAAGACTTGTATCGAATTTTGACCAGTGAGTGTATAGGTTTTTGGGCTCGCAGAATCTGAATCTGGAGATAGCGTAACCCTAAAGGTCACCTTCAAGTAAATTCAAGGTTATTTCAAGATCAAACTAAAGAAAAGGCTTGTATTTAATTTCAACCAGTGCGTATATAAGTTTTTTTTAGGAGGGAACTGAATTCGGGGATAGCTTAGCCTTACAAGGTCACATTTCGGTCAAGTCAAGATCATTTCAAGGTTAAAGTAAAAAAAGGCCTTTCACAAATGTTAACCTGTAAGTATGTATGCTATTGACGCCGCTAAACCTGAATTCGGGGATAGCTTAGCCCTATAAGGTCACCTGGAAATTAAGTCAAGGTCATTTCATTTGACTTAATCTCAATCCAAGCCCCGCAGGTGACCTTATAGGGCTGAGCTATCCCCGAATTCAGGTTCAGCGACCTCAAAAGCATACATACTTACAGGTTAACATTTGTGAAAGGCATTTTCTTTACTTTGACTTTGATAATACAAGTCTTTTCTTCAGTTTGACCTTGAAACGGCCTTTACCTGACCTCCAGGTGACCTTAGAGAGCTAAGCTATCCCCGAATTCAGGTTCAGTGATCCCAAAAGCATTGTACCTACTGGCCAAAATTCATTATATGCCTCAGTTTTTGAATCCATCAACTTGAAACTTCCTGAAGCTTACTCAGGCCTACAGACAGAATCACTTCCCCTTTATTTATCTCTGAAACTATTCATAGGATCACTTTGAGCCCATGACAACTTTTAATGAGAAAGTCAAAAACTATTTTCAATTCAATTTCAGCAAAATCGACTGGGGCCCATTTTCCTTTGTTTTTATGCGGGGTTCTTTGGAAATGTGTCGTTTCTGAAATATAAGGTTAAAAAAAAACACTGTTTTGAAACTCTAAAGGGTGAAAAGTAGATGGGCAAAAATTTTGAGAGCTATATCTTGCACCTTCATATAACTTACGAATGTCTGTCTAATGTTTGTACTCTTCTTCCTCTTCCCTGTGTAATCAAAACCTTAGCTATTTAACAAAAATTAGTTACTTATTTCATTATTTCTGTTTCAGATGTGACTCATATTAGTAGACCGAGGCCAGAGAAGAAACCTTTCTTTGTATAAATTGAAGTGTTTGTTATTTATTTTTACCGAGAGTACAAAATAGCATATCCAAAAATATGTTATAACTAATCAAAAGAAATAAAAGTCTGAAACATTTATAATTATTTTTGTGTATGTTTTATTTCCCTTGACATGAGGTATCTTATTCAAATATTCTATAATTATTTTATTTTTCTTTAATCAACTAATGTAAAATAAATGTAATAAATCTGTTCTAAAGTATTTTTAATTAATGTTGCTAAAAATACTCGGCGTTATTGACATAATCTCTGATAAAAGATTAATGTTTTTTTTTATCTGTTTACTTGGAAACAGCTGAAAAATTACGGAAACAAATAAGAAATTTAAATTAATCCTATGATAAATATTTAAGAAAATATAGGCGCTAATCGGCAAATACAATAAAATGACGAGAATACCACAAACAGTACAAATCGGCGAATTCCCACCAAACTAATAACGTTTACAGTTCTTTGTAATGGCATCCATTAAATTGTTAACTTTTCCGTTAGATGGCGCCAGATATAGTTATTTGAAAACAACGGAAATTTGTGTAACTAGATAAGAGCATCACCTAAGAATAAATTGTCAAGTGTATGTGTTTAGTGTTAAATATTTGTACCTAAAAATTAGTGGTTTAAAATTGAGTCAAATTAGAGATAACATAACGTCCATTAAATCCACTAAATTATCAGAAATTCCTCGGATACGGTTCTAGACAATTACTCCTAGATGGCAGGAATCACGATATGTGGAACCACAGACAATATAGGGTATCGCATCAGACTGCTACTTAAATGCTGGAAATTGACAACCCGAAATGGAAGCAGGGTCTTCTTAGCCGGCTTCCAGCTATAAAATTTAGCGTGGTAACTCTTCTACTTGGTAATAGGCGACAGTTCCAGCGGTGGCTTTGTTGCCAAATAATAACTGCTAAATAAATTTAATGCTTTCAATTATGTAATTAAAGAGATCAGGAACTTATCTTGTGTTTGGAAATCACATTTGCCTTAAATGTTAAATAAAATAAATCAAGTTAGAATTAAAACTATGAATTTACCTAATTAATTATTTATTTTATATCACCTTGGAATGGGAAAATTCAAAAACTCGAAAGTAATGTTTTTAGATTTGTGCGTCGACTTCCAATATGGTACGATATCAAAACCTATGTTTAAAAAAATTGCATTATACAGATTGTGTATCCTTAGATGGGTACTGCCTCTTATTGTTGATTTCTTTAGATAGGTAAATAATTATTTATTGACACAAGTGTTGCATATTATGGATGTCATTGGTAGTGCCCATATTTGTGACACAAGGTGTTCAAAAAAATTAACACAATGTAAAATTGCTGGAACCTCAAGGAGTAGTTGAATACGAAATTTATTTAAAAAAAAACAACAAATCATCAATCAATACAGAGATAAGATAATGCGTTCGCTACTGCTGTTGCAATTTTTAACTAACTAACTTTTTTGTTTTTCGACATACTGACTTCGGACCGTTTCCATTCAACGCAGAACGGACAATCAGAACCAGAGTAGTGGGGAGATTTTTTTAATTATTTTTTCAATTCAACGCACCGTTTCCGAATTATAAGACCTTTTTTACTGTATCACCTCACACACCTCTTCTTTCCGAAATTTATTTTCCACATACGGACTTCGGACCTTTTCCATTCAACGCAGAACTGTCATACAGAACCAGGGGTGTGGGGAGATTTTTTCAATTATTTTTTCGATTTAACGCACCGTTTCCGAGTTATACGGCCTTTTTACTATAACACGACATACCTCTTGTTTCCAGAATTTATTTTCGACATACGGACTTCGGACCTTTTGCATTCAACGCAGAAGGAACATACAGAACCCGGGAGGGAGGGGTTGACATTTTTCAATTATTTTTTCGATTCAACGCACCGTTTCCGAGTTATAAACACTTTTTTATCCTATGACGTCACACACCGTTGGTCCCGATTTTTTTTTTGACATGCGGGTTTTGACGTTTTTCACTCGTTCACCATGGGAGATTTATTTGTTCACCATGGGAGATTTTTTGATACTTAAGAGTCTAAGCAAATACTTTTTTTTTTTCTTTCATATATTGTGACACCCCGCTCTGCGTCACCCACCGAGTGCTCTACTCAGAACCAAGGGGAAATTTGTTTATATTTCCAGCCATTTCCGAGTTACGAGCAAAAACCATTTTTTTTTCTTATACTGTGTGACATCATAGATCGATAACGAAGGCTTAACAAGGCCACGCGCTCTACCCCACGTTCCCTCCCTAGGTGTCCTGAAATTGCTGGGGAGACTCCTGAAGACAGCAGAGAGAGAGAGAGAGAGAAGCTCTCTATGAGGACAGAGTCACTCTATCTCTATCGCACACTATAACTCTATCTCTCTCGCACACAATCAGACAAAAACGACAGAAACGAACCTTCTTTCAGTCGCCATCACTACTGTTTCCTATATAAGTTTGACTGGTTGTCTAACTATAAGCAAGGGTACTATAAAAAAATTCGTCACCGCCATCTTGACGGTGAAAACTTGATTAAATATAGAACCTATAGCTTTGCTCTGTCATCATCGTCTCCTGTAGGAGATACACTGAAATTGTTAATTTCATCACTGGATGGCGCGACAACATTTACAAATACCGAAAAATACTGTGTTCTCTGTAGAGAAGTATTTTGTGCTTGTGCACATTTTCAATAATTTTATACAACTATGGAATGCAATACAATTATTAATTTTTTGTCACCACCAAGACAAACAGTAGGTATATTAATATTTTTATAATTTCAATGACCGATTTCTTGGTTTTTATGTACCACTTGGGGGGTACCATATTAGTATATTTATTTAGTCATATGGGGGGTACCATGCAAGTATATATTGGATAAGGATTCTCGGAAGATCAGCTTAAAATAACTTTAAAGGTGACCTTCAAAGAGACAACCAGTCTGTTATATCCTAAATTTAGAGTAGATGCAGTAGACCAAAGATAATTTAAATTTAAGTTTGCATATAATCGGGGGAGATTCTAGATATTCTACCTTTCAAGCGGGATATAATTTCGTTTTCCGCTTTGGCTAGTGCGGGGTGAGAAAAGGATTTTCAGTTTTTTTATTTTTTATGCTTTTGGATTATGTGTATAGCAAAATGTAAAGGACCATTTTATGGATAGAATATGCATTTTTTATTACTATTTGTAGTAAATATTTAAATCTCTTTTAACTTTTAATAATAAATAGTGCATAAATTTAAAAGCAATCGTAAAATCACAAATATTAATTTTTAATTCGGGTAATAAAGTCCTCGATTTCATCTCGGTTATTCTCAATTTGAGAAGAGAAGAAGTGATTCGTTATTGCGCAATTTATTGTTTCTTTATACTCCAGTCGCATTAGATCATAAAACTTGAAAACTTGAAGAAAGTATTAGTAGATATTTTATTGTACTTTATGACGGGGACCGGTATGGTGGTGTGTAGAATGATAATATTAAAAAAGTAACTCGAAAGAAGTGACGCTAAGTTGGCAAATTGCAAATAAGTGGCAAAATTACGTGTTTTTCACTTTCTTTATTGCAAAAATCTAGACGACCTATTGGAATATTACTTATTTTATGTTATATGCAATTAAATTACCTACAATTTAAGGTACCTAGAGTAACTTTTTCACTAATTTGTGGACTGTAAAATAAAGGTCTAACGCAGAAATATCAGTTTTCGAAAATTGCTCATTATTATTGCAAAAAGCGATGTATGTTGATGAAGTTTATGGAAAAGGCAATGTCAACGTGCCAAACCTCGATTCGCCGACCGTGAAATTGTTGCTCCAGCTATTTGTTAATTAATTTCGCTTGTTTTTTTTTGCAACCAATTCTTTAATTACTAAACGTTAATTTTAAAAGTTAATATCGAAGATATAGGTTCTAATTGATCCAAAGAAACGTATCGAAAAAGAAAAATTTCAAAAAATTGAAATTAACTTGCCCTTTATAACGTGCAAAACCGCCTTATAAACAAATTGTTCCAGGGTCAGGCAAAAGCCGTTCGGGAATTCGCTCTTTTTGCATTAAATAGAGCTGATTTTTACAGTGATCACCTACGCCTCTTTATTCCTAAGATAACTTTTTTTATAACGTTAATTGTTAATTAACTATTGGACGTATCGGACTGTGATTTTGGAGACAATTAAAGAAAGGGTTAAACTTTTATTTCCAAAAAGTTTTACATTGATAAATCATGTAAAGTCTGTTTGGAAATGAAAGAGAGTAATAAAACCCCGAGATAAGGACCAGTCATGGGCGTGGTAATATTTCGTTTCAGGTAATTATCGGGTAACACTAATGCTAACAGGTAATGGGTGTACATTAATATATTTTACTGGATACCTACATCATAGGGCAGGAGCCAGTGTGACAGATCAATCCAGTCTTAGAGCTGAATATACGAAGACGTGCTAGTGCAGTAGAGTAAAATTCGACTTGTGTTTAGTGACTATTGTGCCAGTGGATATAATATTGTTTGGGTAAAATGTCGAGCTTATCAGATTACGTACCTGCTAAACGCGTGAAACGATGTGCGTTGTCTCAGAATGAGAAGATTATTATATTAAATGTATTTAATGCATTGAAACACCAAAATCCTACCAACAGTGTTGACGACATCATGGAAAAGTGTTCCAAAATGACAGGGATTGGAAAATCGACTATCTACAGACTTTTAAAGGAAACAAAAAATGAACAAGATACTGTAAATCCCCCAAAATCATCTACAGGGAGGTCAAAAGTCGTTATAGATGATTTCTTCAAAAATGTCATTCGCAGAAAAGCACACTCATTTTATTATACTATCAGTAGAAGCAAATTATGGGCCGTCTTACGAGAGTTGAATTTTTGCTGGGAAAAGCAGAACAGGAAGTCACTTATCGATAAAGATGAAATTATTTGTTGGCGAAGATCCTACTTAAGATCAATTAGAAAATTCCGTGACGAAGGGAGGAATATTTATTATCTAGACGAAACTTGGGTCAACGAGGGATATACTGTAACAAAAGTATGGCAAGATAAAAATGTAAAAAGTTTTCGACAAGCATTTTTGGATGGACTTTCAACAGGGTTCAAGGCACCTTCAGGTAAAGGGCGAAGATTAATAGTGACACATATAGGTAGTGCCAGTGGTTTTGTAAATGGCGGTTTACTTTTATTTGAATCTAAAAATACAGGTGACTATCACGAAGACATGAACGCAGATGTTTTCGAAGAGTATTTTACACCAGCAACATACTCATACACCGTTTTGAGATATACAGGGTGTCCCTCATAAGAACCGACAGAGGGCAGGTGCATGTAGGGGTGTCCAAAATATTGTAATTTAACTATACTTTTTACCTTTACCCATATACAAAGTTGCACCCCTGAGGAGTTATTAGGACCTTAAATTTCGAAAAAAAATTAATATCTCTGCAACACTTTCCCGCAGAAGAACCAAATTTGGTACATGATTTAGGTGTATTACTGGTCTTCTTTGACTATGAATTAAAGTTAATTGAAGTAGTACAAGGAGTTCATTGGGGATAACTTACCCCTAAAATTGTACCGAACTTTTTTTTCATTGACCGAATTGAAAAATAGTAATATTAATTCACAGCAGTATTTAATTTAAAAAATTTTTTTACTCGTTAAATTTTAAAAAACTATGGTTTTCAAGAAAATCCGTATTAACTGAAACAAGATTTTAACAGTGTTTATTAGAAAATAATCGAAAAGTCAGTAGTAGGCAATGAATTTTTCTTTCAAACTTGTCAGTTAGTAATAAAATTATTTTATTTCAACAATTGCCTCTGATTGTTGTTGAAAAACTATCAATTATTATTTTTATTATTTGTTTTTTTTTTAATACAATATTGGCTTATTTAAAAACTACCTAGGTATTTGTTTTCTTTTTGTAGAGTTAGGAGAGAAGTGAAGTAAAATTTATTTGGCTAATTGTCAAATCTGAAAGATAAAGCCTACTACTGACTTTTTGATTATTTTCTAATGAACATGCACTGTTAAAATATTGTGTCAGTTAATACGGGTTTTCTTAAAAACCATAAAGTTTTTTAAAATTTAACAAGAGTAAAAAAATTTATTTAATATTAGTATTTTTCAATTCGGCAATGAAAAAAAAGTTCGGTACAATTCAGGGGCGAGTCATTCCCAATGAACACCTTGTACTACTTCAATTAACTTTAAATCATAGTCAAAGAAGACCAGTAATAAACCTAAATCAAGTACCAAATTTGGTTCTTCTACGGTAAAGTGTTGCAGAGATATTAATTTTTCTCGAAATTTAGGACCCCATTTGGGGGCTAATAACTCCTCAGGGGTACAACTTTGCATATAGGTAAGTTTGGTTAAATTACGATATTTTGGACACCCCTACATGCACCTGCTCTGTGTCGGTTCTTATGCGGGAGCGGGACACCCTGTATATGTCTATATCTCAAAACGGTGGTTGCGTGTGTGACATAAATATTTTCCGACTTCAAAATCTACACTTTTCTATAAAATAATCTCAGATTAAAAAAAGTTCGATTATTCCGTCTTATTATTATGTCTCACTTTCCTGGACTATATCGTTGGGGTCAATTGTTAATTCGAAAATAAGATTGTTTCAATTTCAAACTCAATGATGCATTAATATTTATGTTCAAACAAAAAATAAGTCCAAAGTACAAAAACATATTTATTGTTACAGTTTTTGGCGCAGTATATTTGATGAGATCTACAAAAGAGCTATCACTACACTACAACAAATAACATATTGGAAATATGACGCCTCTAATAAGAAAACATAGAAAGCATTTCTGTGATATGACCGACTCGACTTAAATATCATCCGTCCATCACGATTGTCTGCCTCCACCACCATGCCACCATCAAATGCACCTTCCTTCGCCGACTTACTAAACTAGACACCCAAGCCCCAAGCGTCCCACAAGAGGGAAAGAGAAACCGATATAAACACTATCCAAAACCGAGGGTCGTGTTTACTGTCAGCTCGCCAGCTGGATCAAAAGAGTTTGACCCGTTCAGCGTAACGCCGTAACGAAACGCGATAACTTCAGTCGTTTAGTATCGAGTGCCCCGCTGAGTCGTTTTTTTTTCTGGTGATAATAATTGAACATTGACACAAACAGAAGAAAATCATGGCTTTTTCATTGTTGAGGAACGGTTTGAGGGTATGCAGGCAAATGCTGAACAGAGGTGCTGTACTTGAAAGTATGGCGAGGAATGGCAAAATGGACACTTCCAGAAGCATGGTGAGACTTTTTCTAGATTTTTAGTATAGGTACTGCGTTTTAACTTGTAAAATTATTAAAAGAAGTCACTGAACTTTGGAATAAATAAATGGGTCAAACTTTCTAGTCTTGTTTATCTTAAAATCGTTGTGAAAAATTAGACACAAGTCTTGTAATTTTTATATAATGTTAAATGAAAACAATTTCTTTAATAAAAATATAATAATTAATATTTTTCTGTAGGTACGATATAGTCGATATACGTATGTTTATAATTTATAATAGTTTTTCAAAAAACGTCTGTTGCCCTTCAGGTTTGTTAACTTTATTTTAGAGAATAGGTATTTTAACTGTCTTATTGCATTTCGTTAAACGGCATTTGGCAACTACAGGGTGTTCCACCTACGAGGGATTCTTCTGTAACTCTGTAACGGTAAAATTTATTTAAAAAATGGTTTTAATAAAAGTTGTCTGGAATCATGTGGGCTATGTAAAGAAAATATTTTTACCTTTACAGGGTGTTCCATTTCACGTGGGCGCAACGTAAGTTTGTTAATTTAAATGGAATATCCTGTATATTATTGCGATTTTGAATTCCTTGGTTAGTATTAGGTACAGTGGCTCTATACAAGACAGTGGCGACAATAGCGACTAAACCCCGCCCATCCGCCATGTTGCATCCAATGTCAAATTAAAAGTATTACGAAAAATAAATTAAGTACAATATTATTTTTCTTATAAATTTTACGCACAGATTTTAACCACATACTTCTATACATATACAAAGCAATTTGAAAGGGAATTGAAGCCAAAAAGTGGGGGTGTTGCACTTTGTGCATTATACGCACGCGCTATGATTAATTTTCCCATTGGTCGGTTTGTCGGTTAACGTCATTGTCATTTCCGAAGATAGGTTATGAATTTGAATAGAAAGACAGCTGAAAATGATTTGGTAAACAAAAAAAAAGGAAAGGAAACGAGGCAGACCCATAAAAAAACATGGGATCAAGGACCAAATAGTGGCAGAAGACTTAAAGAAAAGAGGAACAAACTGGCATGAAGCGATGAAACTAGCAAAAAATAAAAAGAAGACAAAATTTGTTTCTAAGTAAAAATGTATATCTTTACACCCTATGGATACTTAAGGTTTTATTGATTGAGGATTTTTATTAATTAAAGGTAATGTATTGATGAAATTGGCTAAAGCAAATTTTTACGTGTCCAATCAGTAGCTAGAAATTCCACATTTTGCTAATGCATGAGACTTCGTGTTTCACGGTGAACTCTTACTGTTATATATTAAAAGGAGACGAGTAGTTTCCCTTTATATATTTTTTGTAAATGTCACAAGAAATTATTTTTATAACCTGTGAAGTTACAAAGCCCGCTATATATGATACCACATCTTCTACATACGGCGAAAGGTCAAACATGGTTTTTACGTGATCATGTTCAAATAAAGAAACGACACTTAATGTACCTATTTGTGTTTGGATCACAAACTGGATCAGCTATTTTATTTGAAAAATAATACCTAGGGACAATTTATATCTAAAANACGCATTATTCTTCTAAGAACCTTATCAGAGAAATTAGGAATATCCTCATCTTCAGCTATTGCAGCTTGAATTTTCTTTATCGTTGGTATTTCATTTCTAAAGAAAAATCCATGAATTTTCCTACGTATGGAGTATTTCACGTCAACGTCGACTTCTATTTTCTTCCTCCCTCGTGTTTCCACTTTTTTCTTCTTTGGATTCACTTCTACACTATTTTTTATGGCACGATAAACAGTAGCAACGGATACTTTTGTCAACGAACTACACATATCAACAGCTTCACTTACACTTGTATTAGAATTTCGCGACCGAATTCCTTTATACACGTTTTTTACCATTATTAATTCCGCATCGCATAGGTTAGGGCGTTTATGAGCAACAGACCGTTTGCTACAACCGGCACTTTGATCCATTTTAATTATTATTCCTACGTTTTAAAACGTCCCGATTGTATTTTTTTAATTTATAAATTTACTATAGTCACGGAATATGCAAACCCTCGCGCGCGCTTATAGTTTGACGTTTCTAACTACGGCTAACTCGAATTCTACGTACGTCCGTTTACACCCACTAAAAAGAGCATTTCCCTATCTGTAATAAGTGCGATAGACAGAGATAGGAAATAAATCGCGTTCAGTGTAACTCAGTCTATGACTGTTATAGATCCTATCGATGTGCAAAGAGAGCGGCACATCATTTAACATAAGCAAATAATATTGAACCGTTATAAAAATCATTTTAAGTTTTATACACTTTACGTAATAGTGTTTCTATATTATGTATGAATCACTCTCTATAATTTCGACCGCGGAGATATAGTTATAGTTTAGTATTTAATTAATTTAATAACAATTTTATTTTTGATCTGATGACAATTTGGTACATCTAAATCATTTCACATCATTTCATTTAAGAAAAACTCTTTTAAACTCAAGGTTTGTGAAGATATAATCGCACAAAATTTTGTAAAAATACTTTCCATCTGCAAGAAGAAACAAAATACCGCTTCATTGCAAAAAAGTTCTCTAAATCTCTTAAATGCGCCAAATTTTGAAAATGTTTTATAAATCGGCGTTTTAGAACCAACAGCATGTACGCTGTTTGTGCAAGTTTTTGATTTGAGCAAATATTATACACACATTATAAAGAGAATTTAATTAGAGTAAATGCCGGTAGCAAATAACAGTAATTCCACAAATACCTAATCTTTAATTTTCTGTCCCTTAGCACAAAATACCCAATATTAGGCTTTTTTTCGCGAGTGAAGTCGTATGTTATAGTATGTGTAGTATGAGTGAGTGAAGAGATTTAAACTACCATAGGACAACTAAGATCAAAAGAGATAGAAATAGCAACTACAAGTCAGATATTCACCAATATTCAGTCGCGAAAAAAAGCCGATTGTATCACTAATATTCACCAAAATTAAAATAAAACAATGCAAATATTGAATAACACCATAAGAATGCTCCTGACACATGACACATCACAGATGAATTTGACACTGGATGCAACACGGCAGCTAAAATCGCGTGGACCAATTAAAAATGATACACTCTATTGTCGCCACTATCTTGTATACAGGGTCGGAAACGGCTTTCGCAGATACATATTTTATAGAAAATTTTTTAATAATCTATGACTTAGAATCCGCCATTAAAGTTTTGCCGAGTCCCTATTTTAGTTAAGGTTTTTCTATTCAAAAATAAATTTAGCTAGTATATATATCTAGTCAGTATACAGGTTCGGAAAGTCCCCATGGTTCATCGGCCGTTACGTAAGAGCGATAAAGTAAGTCATAGAAATCCGTGCGATTGAGAAGGATGGCTATAATGAAGGCGTCTCATAGTCACCGCCCGTTTCGCCCTTCCACAAATAAGATCCACTTCCACTTGTAATTAATTAATAATAATTGTTATTTAAGTATACTGTTTAAAATGACTTAAAAATCCCAAGAACTAAAGCAAAATTCCCTATTTCCCCAATTCCAAAAAAATCTGTAGATCTGACATCACTCTTTCTAGGGCTGCCCTCTGTTAACGGATTGTATTAACATATCGGAATAGAAAGTCGGAATTGTATAAGTAGTGACATCTATTACGGTGAAAGAACGAAACGGGCGGTGACTATAAGACGCCTTCATTATAGCCATACTTCTCTATCGCATGGATTATTTACTTTATCGCTCTCACGTAACGGCCGATGAACCATGGGGACTTTCCGACCCTGTACAGTCACTGTAGTATTAGGTATAGAGTTTATTAAATGTACACGGTGTTTAAAACTTCCCGTTTTCGAGATAATCAGTTGTTTTTGAAAAAAAATCACCATTTCAGCTCTCTAAATGAAGTTAGATAGCGTCTAAACCTTCGTTTTGTCATAAATTACTTTATCTTGTCATCTGTGAGCAAAACGTGTACGTTATTGATACTCGGAAATACTGAGACCTACATTTAACAATCTTACAAGCTTTCTGATATAAGGTTGTCCATACTTATCTCTAACAGTTTTCCAGAAAAATCAGGTTATTTTCTAAAGTCCGAAAAAGTATCTATGTAACAACGTCAAGAATGCCTTGCAATTGTATTAGTACAACGTCGATACATAGGATTTTACAAAAGCACAGCACAGTACATCCTTATCGCATCCAATTACACCAAGAGTTACTAAAAGTAGACTTTCAGCGGAGACTAGAGTTTTGTCAGTGGGCACTTGAGATGTTAAATCAAGATGATGATTTTTTTAAATTGTCATTTTCTCTGATGAGGCTATTTGTCATAAAAATAGTTTCGTTAATAGTCATAATTGCCATTATTATGACACAATAAATCCTCACTAATTCCGGACAACTCATAGCCAACGATGGTATTTGAACGTGTGGGGAGCAATTTTGGCAACCCATGTCATTGGACCATTCTTTTTTGACCAGCATCTAACTGGAACAGTTTATTTAAATTTTTTAACAAACACTCTAAAATATTTGTTAGGCGACATTCCTTTAGCTACACTTCGAATAATGTGGAGGCAACATGATGGTGCTCACAATACCCCTGCGGTTCGTCAGTTTTTACACGAAACTTTTCCCAACACACGGATTGGGCGCGGGAACCAGTGAGTTGGCCTTCAAGGTGTCCAGATATGACAAGTTGCGACTTCTTTTTATTGGGATTTATAAAAAGCAAAATTTACGTTACACCACTAACTACCGCGGAAGATATGCGGCAGTGCATTAAGCCGGCCACTCACGTTCCGGTATACCTGACAGGTATATCTGTTCAGGTAAACATGACAAGTTAACCTCAACTTGACATTGCCCATATACGTAGCGGCGTACCTGAAAGCAATTCTCAGTTGGGCTTTCAATCATGTCCGTACAACGCGACTACGACGGTGCTGTAGCGTTAGTAGGTCTTCTCCTCCTAGGGAAAAAGAAAAGAAAATCGCGACAAAAGTGGTGTAAAG